TCCAGTCTTGTCCCTTCTCATAACTCCAGCCTCATCTTCTTTCGCTTGCTTTACTCTTCTCGTCCATCTTGACCTTGCTTGCAATTGCCATGCTTTAGTTTTGCCTCTTCTTCTCTCTCGACCTACATTAGCTCTTTCACTCTCTCCCTCTTGTTCAGCATCAGGGACAAGCCTATCTGTGTCTCACAGAAGTCCAAAGGCTTGGTGATAGAGCCTAAGGCATAACGATTGTCGAGATAACCATAATTACATATCTTAGGGATGTTTTTTCGGATGAAAAACGACAAAAATGGCAAAGAAACATCTCAGACTGCACCCATATTGGGCGATATAGATAGGCATCATAGAAAGGCCAGGAAATCATATAAAAGACTACTAGCCGCTAGGTAGTTATACACATAATTTGTTGATTATCTGAAAAGTGTCGAGAGCTAATCCCAGTGCAGGGGAGATCCAGGCCAAGCGAGCCAGCAAAATGCACTATTTTTCTAAACACGACAAATTTGCTTCTGATGAAGCTGACCTAAGACAAGCTCGTGAAAGCGTGGCAACCGGCCAAGCGGTGAATGAATATAAAGGCGAACTCAATGAAACATAGAAGCGCCGAACTGTACCTGAAAGAGAGCCGATCGCTAGAACCTCCTCTGCATAGGCGCCGGTATAAGGCACATCATAATCACCATCACCCAGCGATGTCGGCCCTTGACCCTTGCAATCTGCCGACGAGATGAGAGTGGTCGAGGCTGAAGGAACCGCAATAGTTATGGTAGCAGCAGCAGCAGCGACAGAAATAGTAGTAGTAGTAGTAGTAGTCGTCGTCGTCGTCGTCGTCGTCGTATTAGCAACAATAGGGGATCTAGCGCCATCGACAGAGGCCGTCGAAGGAGGAGAAGCATTGGAAGTCGTCTTCTGAGTCAGAGCTCTTTGGATGAGTCTAAACGGGCTGCAGACAGATGGGGTTCGAGCTTCCTCAACTGCCTCAGATGCCTTGCTCATGGAGGGAGTGCCGGTAGTGGGTGAAGTCCCAGTCTGCAGCCCATCGGTAAAGGATCCGAGGCCGGAGGTGGCAGAAGATTTGCGCGATGAGATGGAGACAGGAGTAGCACCGGCTAGAACGGCACAATTGTGCTTGTGAGCATGTGAGTTTGAGGCTGTGTTGGGAGCGGAATCGACGGTTGACACATGCACGGGCCGTAGGTTGGCGTTAAAGGCGTTGAGATGGCTGCCAGCAGTGGTATCGAAGTTGTCGCTGTTTTCACTTGTACAGTTGGTAGTATCATCATCATCATCTTCTTCCTCCTCATGGTCGGGATTGATTGGTCGGAAGAGGGAGTAATCGGGACCGAGGTAGGACGAGGCGAACGGATGCAGCGACTGGCTCATGGACGAGGTTGTCGTGGAACCGTTGTGCATCTGCCGGAAGAAGCAAGAATATCCAAGCAAAACTAAGCATTAGTAGCTGGATGTGAAAGTCTCTCATTGGAAGATGGTGAAGCCTCTATTTGGCTGGCAGTCACCTGTCGTTGTATACATTTTGCCTGACCGCACTTTTCCAACTTGATCGTGTTGTCACAGCGACCCAAAAAAACCTACCTTGTCCTGCGTTCTTTGCCATAGCAATCATGGCCGTTTATAGCATCAGACAGGGCACTGAGTGCATTTCCAGACGTTTCTACTGCATCGTAATCGGCATCGTCTGTCAGTCTTGTAGGTCCGAACAAAATGTTGCCACTCGTCAGAGGCAAGTGAAGTAGATTCCGGGCAAAATGATGCACCACAGAGGCAACATTGGTGCTTGCAGTGGCAAGACTCAATGAAGATGCCGGCGAAACGTCTGGAAATGCACAAATTCTACGCTCTAGCACTGGAAATTATCATAACTTCTCTTACATGGGATGCAAAATAGTGGAAGCAAGACAATGAGCGACATGAAAGACACGAAGAAACCTAGTGGGGATAGGACGTGGGAAAAAAGAGAAAATTATGGAGAAATGCACCGTAATCGTTTAATAGAATGTTGGTGGAATTTTAGCTTCATATGCTCCTCTATAAAGTGTCGTTTGCT